TTATTTTATTTTTTCTTTAAATAATTTAAAGATGAATTGATCCATCAAAAGAAAAAAACAAAGAAGACATTGTCACCTTTTAGTATTTCCGGCATCAATAGATCACTTCGTTCAAGAAAATCCAAATGGATAAATGAAATAGTGGTATTAAAAGAATGAAATATTTAAAAATTAAAGCACTTTTTTCTTGACATCAAAATGATGAAGAAATGAGGTCATCATTTGAATGAAAATAATACTAGTTCACTGAAACAAACATATATATCCAATCATTTATTATTATAATCATTATTGCTATTATTATCATTAATTAATATCACTATTACTATTACAGTAATTAACTGATCACTTGCAGAGCATCTCATTATAGGCATATTATCAAAATTAAAGAACATAAGCAAGTAAGTTTTTGCTCTATATCAAATAGCTAATGATATAGTTTCTCCCTTTCTCTCCCTCTCTCTCTCTTTCTCTCTCTCTTTCTTTCTCTCTCTCTCCCTCACTCATTTTCTGTTATTATTTCGCTAATTATTATTTTAGCATTAATAATAACTATCATTCAAATTTATTTTTCTTCCAATAATAAAATTTCCATTTTAAAGTTATTTCTTCAACCGATGGAAACATTTGGAAATTTCACCTATTATTTTATACAATTTTAGCCCATTGAAAAGGACTGAATTTAAAAAGGAATGTCAACTTTATAGAGAAGCATATCGTTAAGATGGAAAAGATGCAATGAAATAACAATGAATGGGTTAAAGAAGATAAAAATTGCTTTTTTTTTTTTGTTGATGACAGAAAAAAAAAAGAAATCATTCCTTTTCCTAATCAACTTTACCATCTCATCTTTTTTTTTCAATTTTTATTTTTCCTTTTTTTTTTGAAAAATAATAGCATCTTTTTGTCATACTACAAGAATAAAAACCGTCTGATCAATATTGTCAAAGTCCCCTCACTTATTGGCAGTTTGCTCTTTTCTTGTTAGCTGCTTACTAAATTTCCCTCTTTTCCTCTACTCTTTTTGCGAAAGTTAAAAATCGATCAACTCATGAAATTCTTCCTTTCGCCTCTCCATGATGGGTCTTCCCACACATCATCGCTTACATCCTGGCCGCTTGACGCATTTTAACATTTTCGTACTACTGTTATCATTAACTCCATTCCTAATACTCTCCTCTTACCACTATAATAATAATAATAACAACAACAACAACAACAACAACAACAACAAAAATAAAAACAACTACTAATACTATTACTATCAAACTACTGCTACTACTACTACTGCTACTACTACTGCTAATACTACTACTAATAATAGTGATACTACCAATATTACAGCAAAAAATTGTCCTCAAGCTGATTTCATTCATTTGCTCATTGCAGCATTTGTCGTTCGGTTATATCATCAATAATATAGCTACCAAATATGTGCATTTTTCTGATTTCATCAACCTTAACTTGTTGAATATAGTCAAAAAGGCGCATGGTAAAACCGGTACTTAATATGTTAGCTATATTCCTGACAAATCGAATATTCAGTATGCCTGAAATTAAATATATATAGAAAAGTTCGTTACTAAAGAATGATTGCTAGATTGAAAAGCTCTGATAATTGAAGCTTAAACTGTAATATTCGCCAGCGTTGTTGGCTTACATAGATAACTTTAATTTAGCTTACATGTAATAATATTTTCCTTATTAAAATCTAAAACTGTACATTATCTCTTAATAATATAGTTGTATTATGATAGTTTAAATTTAAATAATAAATAATCTTTAACAAAAATTCGAATATTACATAATATGATAGCTAATCATTTAGAATTGTTCATTCATAGAAAGAAATTGTTAATGATTTTCTTCCATTTTTTATTGCCTATTTTTTTTTTTCTTAATGTAGTGAAAATATAGCGTATTTCCAAGAAATATGATCACTTATGCAAATATAATATTTTTATGCGCTGCTTTCTTTTCTTTTACCATTTCCAACTATTATTGTTATTATTATCATTGTTGCTATCACTATTATTATCACTATTATCACTACTAATTCCTATTACTGTCATTTTTATTAATCCTACTATTATTATCTGCAAATATCACTTTAAACAAGCTATCATTATGAGTTTCACTGAAGATTATTATGCAAAGATTAATATAAAAATCATTCATCATTTGTTAAACGAATTTAAATCAACACATACTTTCCTATATTACTAACAAAATATACAATTCAGTAAGAAAAATATTGTTACGTGTAATGTAAGAAGCATAATGCAACAATATCAATTACTTATTCATTGAACAAAAGAATATGCAATATATGAGAGAAAAAAAGATTACTAAAGATTAGCTTCATCTTCCTTTCAATTTATACTTTGTATCATTCCTTCAATTTATAACCAAATAAATTTATTTCCATTTAGGCACATAACAAGTCAATAGCACTAACGAACATTCAATTTAAGCTGCAATTATCACAACCAATTCCATCCAGCAAACACTCCTTTACTAACGGATTATTTGATACATACATATATTTATTTAATTCCAAGAATATTGAAGACTCAATTTGCTAGGCATATATCTCACAACAACGACAAAAAAAAAAAAAAGAAAGTGCAGCTAATAGCCTTTAGTACCGGCCCGGAAAATGAATGTATACTTATCGTACATCATTCTGGCTATATCCAATCCAACTGCTGCTATATGCCATAATACTTCATATTGATTGTGAGGTCTAGACAAAAAGAAAAAAAGATAAAGTTTGTGTGTATATGGTTGACGAAATGAGAGAAATCTCAAATAGTGAACATTTTAAGCAATCATCAAATAGGAGCATTAGCTATTGCCAATTCCATTTACGTTACTTAAGTTTTGAATTTATTCGATTAGTGAATCGTTTGAATCTGCTATATGTATTTGTCATGTTTATATTTAATACGTCTTCTCTGAAATTTACATCATCCTATTGTTTAGTCATTTCAAATATTTATAGATTTAAATGTTGTCATAAATCGAAATTTTGATATACGTGTCTTTCTTTTTAAAGTTTTACATTGCGGGATTAATATGATCGAAAAGTGAATCATTGTAATATGGAAATGTAAAATGGACCAATATAAGCAGGTTAAAATAGTGGACGACGACAAATTGAAAGAAAGTGATTTCGACAAAATAAAACGATAATGCAAGCCGCGCAGGTTCATGCTCTTTACCTGCTGTGGTAGTGCAAACGTAAAAAATCAACGTGTTGTTGTATACGGGGAGGAGGAACTGCCGCCAAGGCCTAATTCATCAGTTGACGATCGTCGTAGTGAATTGCAATCAGGTCGACATAGTCAAGGCTCAGCATCGTGTCCAGAAACATTTCGAACCTATGCTAACAGCCCTACACGGGATAGTCCATGCTTGAGAAGTCGCAGCAATTCACGTTCACGAAGTAGCTCACGAACTGAAATCTTACGACCCGGCCAGTGGACAACTGTAACATCACAAGTGAAATTTCGTACACTTACACCAAGTGAACAACAGGAAGTTTTTGAAGTACAAAAAAAAGAGAGATTGTTACGTGAAGAATCGGGTGAGTAATTTTTGCATGAGTAACTCACTCGTTCTCTCTTTATCTTTTCTTCATCTTCTATCTGTTATATCTATTATCCATTCTTATAATTCCATTGAAATGATTAAAATTTTTAATTTGGAAAAAAAAAGGAACAGTTGTGCAACCATCAATTTTTTAAAGTACTCAAACTAATTAAATAAAATAACAGTTGAAGCATTATTTTTTAATTATAATAATTATCAGAATTTTCATAAATTTTCTTCTGAATTCTTCTTTCGCAAACAAATCAATAATATAAAGTTTAACTTTTTAGAAGATTAAGGTAATAGAAGAAGAAAGCTTTTTTTAAAAAAAAAAAGAGATTGATATTTATAAATGTGTTTTTGTTCTTCCATCATTTGAATGTTTTATAAATAAATCAAAATTTTTGAAAATTTTTTTCTTTATTTAAAAAAAAAAACGAAAGAATAGGAAGAGAATTTACATATTCTCACAAATTGCATTACCTTATTTCAGAATAACTTCCATTTTATTTTTTAAGATCAACGTTTGCCTTTGCTTATTTTCATTATTATTTTTAACAACTGCTAATCTATTTTTCCTCAACACATTAACAATTTATTTGTTGTGCAAAAAAACGACCAACCCTAACTTTTTTCATTGGAATTTTCTTAAAGAGATGAAAATTTTTAGCAGTTATAACAAAAATGGATGAGGGTGCTGATGGAAATGGTGGCAATCAACCTACTGAAACGATTAGTCGCATACCGGATAGTCCCGGATCTCGTTCCAATTATGGTGAATTTTATTGGTAAGTAAGTTGCACTAGTAAATAAATGGTTATAATCAATATTATTGTTTGAAAAAAAAATTTCATATTTTGAATTTGGATTTCTGAGCTAATAAAAAAAACTACTAATAAAACATTCCGCTCAATAAATTTCCAAAAATAGAAAGAGCAAAAATAAATGCGAAAAAAAATAATTCTAATTCAAAAAAAAAATCACAATAAATAGTATGCCATCGATAGATGACAAAAATTAGAATTTATTCATAGGTTAAAATATGAATTAATATAACCATAGCTATCCTTGGTACCATATATTCCACCTATACTCCTATGGTATAAGAAAATTTCAGGGAAGCATATATCAGTGAACAGTAATAAATAATGAATCGTCTTAAAAGATTTCTTAAATAATACATTAAAATTGCTCATCCCCTCCTCCTCCACCCATTCAATTCGTACCGTTCGTTATCAGTTAATAAAAATTGAAATATTTTTTAAAATGAGTATCTTTTGCATTAATCATGCTTCACTCCAAGTGCTAAAACGTACAAATCATTGAAATATAAGAGAAAAAGATTTGAAATTAAGGGCTAAAAGTATATTTGAAATTCAATATGTTTATTGTTCCGAAAAAAAAAAATTCTCTTTTTAAAGTCATGAAAATAAGAAAAATGTCAGACGAAAACAGAAATGTTCGTGGGAGAAATAAGAATAAACAAACCAATTTTATATCGATGAAGGGAAAAATGAAGTCAAATTGACAATAAATTTTTCCTTTTTCCTCAATCAATGAAGGTAATTTTCATAAATCTTGACGGAAATTCCGAAAAATTTTATGTATTTATTATTAGCTCCTTGAATGATGAAGAAAAAAAAGTTTACGTAATTTTTAAACAAAACGAATATCAAATTGCGAATGAAAATTTGAAGGAAAAGAATTATTCGTACCATAGTTTAAAGAAATCATTACCAAAAATCCCAATTACTATCGGAAGATAAAAGAACAAATTAAATCTTTCAAATATCGATAAACTTGAATTATTATAAACGAAAAACAAGTTCCGCAATTATAAATCATAAAATGAAGTTCCATTAACATTAATGATTTTTTCCCAAAATTGAAAAATTGCAGGTACCCGAATGGAAATCGATAAAAAGCAAATTTTGAAGATAATTTTGGGGCATCTAATTTTTTTTTTTTTTTTAAAACTTCTTACTGATATTTTTTTTCTCAGAATTTTCAAAAAAAAAATACATTGCTCATTTAACAATAGTATAAGCTTATATATAAATCAAACGTGGAATTAATAGCTATCTATTCATAAATAAGGAAAATCTAACATGCATTCCGATTTCCGGTATGAATACAGGGATACTAATGGCGAAAATGGTTATCACGTTTCGGATTCATTCGATAGCGATCTGATGCTTGAAATAGATAGCTATGGAAAGGGTGTTTCTGCGGCACGACTTGATCGTACACAGGAAGATCTCAACAAATATCGTCAACGTATTGATGCTAATGTGGAGCATCAAAAAGAATATTCCGATCTCATATCTGCTTTACAGCATAAGGTTTAATTTTACCTAATTACAATCTATTAAATATTTACAAATAAGAAAAAAAAGTTGCAAAATTAACAAAAAAAAAGAACCATCAATTAATTTTTTTAATAATTTGTAATTAAATTTATCTTAGATATAAATAATTCCCTAAATTTAAGGTACAAGAATATCGCCGCCATATTGCTGATCTTGAAAGTCGAATAGCAACACGTCGATCAGATGAACCATCATCATTCACATTGATTGATTCAACCGTATACCCCGATGGAAAATATAAGGATGAAACATTATGGAGTCCTAAAAAGGGCTTAGATGATGCTGAATATCAACTTTTGGCTAAATTAGATGAGGAACGTAGAAGGTAATAGAAATTTTACTTAATTTACAATCTAATCCGTATCTGAATTTTTACTTCAAATTAATCTAATTGTAAATACCTGAATTATTTAGAAGAAAAAAAAAAGATTTATAAAATGAAAGGTAATTTGAAGAGTTGATGATTATCGGATACAATTGGAACAAGAACGTATTCAAAATGATCAACTGTTACATGAAAATGAACGTCTTCGTCAACAATTTGAAATAAATATCCGAGAAAATGAACGCATTTACAGAACTCGCGAAAAGGTGAATGATTTTATTATTTGTAAAATTTCAGAATAAAAATTACTCAATCTTTATCTTTATTTAATTGAATTAAATAAAAAAGAATCTGATATGTAAAATTTTTTTTTGTTACAGAATCTTGCTCAGTATTTAAGTGAAGAACAAAAAAAGATGATGGATTTATGGACTGAGTTACAACGTGTTCGCAGACAAATAATACAACATAGGGAGCAAACGGAACATGATCTGGAAAATCAGCGTAATGAATTTACTCGATTAATTCGAAATGTTGGAGGCTTAACTAGACAATTAAATCTTACCGGTGTTGAGGTAATAAATTTTAAAATTGTATCAAATTTATAAAATTGTTTCAGAAAAATCAACAAAAAATGTTAGCAGTTTTCTTTTTGCATGAAATAAAATTTAATTATTAGACAATACTCTTAATTTAGAACAACTAAATGCAACAGATTCTGATAAAATTTAATTTGCAGGGTGGTTATAGTGGCATCAAAGAACCATTATTGGTTGAAACTAGCCGTGGAGGAGGTGAAACAGTTAGTCAGGATACTGTATTAATTGAAGCAATTAAAAGAATACGCGAAAGTCAACAAACTGTAAGTCAACCAGGATTACAGATGTTCGAACAATTGAAACTTGCAACTTCTACAGCTGGTGATGCAGATCTATACAATGAACTTATGAAAAAGTACGTAAATAAGGAATAGATCCATTTCAGAGTAAATAAAACATATTATGAAATATTTGAACCTTTTTAAATCAAAATTTAATTAAATGAAAATATGCAAAAATTACTGTTTACAGATATGAAGAATGCATTGAAAGAAATATTGAGCTGGAATCAAAAGGTGATGAAGCACAACGCAAAAATGCTGCGCTTGAAGCTGAGCTTCAACGAACTAAAGAACGCCTTTCAGATAATCAGGTTAATATGATTGCTTTTGTAATTAATTTCGATTTTTCTTTTTTAAATTTTGCTTTAATATTTATACTCCTTTTGCTTACAGGTTGCGCTTCGTAAACTACATGAATTGGCTCAAGATGCTTCTCGTGCGCCAGAAAGAGAGAAAAGAACTCGTTCACTTTCTCCAAGTAATAATTAGTGGTATTAAAAAGATAGATAAGAAAGTAAAATTTGAAAATTTGATTAACTAGTTTTTCGACATGCAAAATAACATGCAAATTTTAGCTTTAATAAAACAGTTTTAAAAAGATAAAATATAATATAGTTATTTCATAAAAATTAAAAACGACAAGTAATTTAGGTGGTGCGCCACTTCCACCATCGGAAACCTTACGCAGTGTTCGCAATATCATCCGTAATAAAGATAGTCAAATACAACAACTGGAAAGAAAACTGAAGATTGTTGAAGGCCAGGTAAATTATAAAATTTACAGCTGTTAAATTAATTCAATTAATAATTCTCTGTAGTTTTCACTTACAGGTTATATTTTGCATTATTTCTTCAAATACCTTATTAATTCAGGTCAAAGAATTCGTGAACAAATTCGAACATGCTGATGAAGCTCGACGTTATTTGGACAAACATTTGGCAGAAAGCAAACGTGAACTGACAAATCAGTATGAAATTTTAATAAATTCAAATGGAAATCAAAAACGATTTATAGTTTCCGCAAAAAACCCCTTTATACTAACGCGAAATTAAAATTTCAGAATTAAAAATTTGGATGACGCGGAACGTCAAGTAAGACGTCTGGAAGAACGATTACGTGCCGCTGATTTAGAAAAAGCAGCAGTTGAGAAAGCTAGAAAATTCCTGGAAGAAGAGATAAACAAGTTGCATCAGTCAGTAGTGTATTTCTTGATATTTTTAATTCAGTCTATCATCTACTTATCAAATCAATTAAATTTTAAATCAAATTGACGAAAAAAAACTCTCAATAGTATTAATTTCTTTATAGGTGAAAATTTTTAATTCCAATTTGCCTATGCTTACTGTTAGCATTATGATGATTTAACAGTTCATCGCATCTATCCATTATATATTTTCATTTATTAGTTTTAATTATCTGTTATATTAATTTACATTTAATTTTCCTTAAAATTAACTTTTTCGAATTTGGAACAAATTTTAATTTATGTAAAAAAAGCACAAAAATAAAAATATTTACAGACAATATCAAAAGGCAACAGCAGAGGAAGAACGAAAAGCTCGTGACAAAGAACATGAAATTAATCTTGGACTTGAGGAGGAATATAAAAATCGGTAAATTTGTATCAAAAATAATAATAGAGAATGCTTACTTTATAATTATAAATAATTTAGAATGTAATCTATAATTCTTTATGTAATTTATGTAATTTATTGTAATTATCTAAATCAAAGAACTATTTTTAGCATTAACGAATTAAAAAATCGCATCGAAACAATTCAGCGTGATAATACGAAATTAAAAACGGAGCTAAACACAATGAGGGATAAATATCGTGATACTGAAAATGAATACAATATTACACTACGAAAATTGGAAGAAAAAGGTTTTGTGAAATATCTTCTTTTAAATATATTTTAATATTTTAAATTAAAAATTTATGAAATCATTTGAAGAAATAAACTAATTTCAAAAAAAAAAAAAATTCATCCTTTCATTTAGATGCTGCATTGCGTCATCTCAGTGAAATTAAACGTCAACTAACCAATGAGCTTGATCAGCAGCGAACACGTTATGATACATTAAATTCTGAATTTGATAAATTAAATAACGAATTTGAGAATGTTGGCAAGACATCTGTAACATTGGAGCAAACACTTCGTGAAATCAAACAACAACGAGATGAATATAGGTAAAAGAAATTTAATTATAATAATTCAAATAAATATCAAACAAAAATTTATAAATTTGTAGAAAAAAAAAGACAGTAAGATGAGTAGTCTTAAAATGAGTAATTCAGTATAATCTTACAGTTAATTTACCTCTATAATACAATTTACCTAAAAGTTTTTAGCAAATACCAAATATTTGCTTTCATTCAGTTAAAAACCAAAAATAAATGAATGAAGGTGGGGAAAAATAAAAAAAAAATAAGAATTTCATTTTATTTTGTTTTTTTTTTCGTTCATATAATTTTCCACCACTTTATTCCGCATTATATCACACTGCTTTGAAAGAAAGTCTATTTATTTATTTTCTGTTTTTCGCTGCTTTTTTCTTTTTCCTTTCACAATTTTTCTTTCATTTCATTTCGTCTTATTGTTTGCGGGTGGTCCTGTTTGATGTGCATGAAAAGTTTTACTATACAATTGACGACTGTGTGATTATGTTTTTGATTTTTATATCATCCATGGATAAATCACAGATAAGTTTAGTATTTTATATTGATGCAAAAAAAAGAAAAATTTTGCAAATATATTAACTATGCCTAATTTATATCGTTAAATTTTATTTTAGCAAACAGAGAGATGAGCTTTCACGACAAATATTCGATTTGAAGCATCAGTTAGAAAATGACAAAGCAGAATATGAAGAAGCGGAAAAAACAAAGAGCCGTAAGTGAAATTTTGAAAAAAAAAAAAGGTATCCCACATATTTTAATACTTTAAAATTATATTACTAAATAGAAAAATTTACAGGTTTAATAGAAGAAATCGAAAAGCTCAAACTTCAAATTACGGATTATGAAAATCAGCTAAGTATACTACGCCGACACAATGATGAACTTGATACGCAAATTAAAAGTGGTCAAGCTAAAACAACCGCTGTCGAGAACGATTTAATTACAAGTCAAAAAGAAATTGTTAGATTGAACGAATTGAACGATCGTCTTCAACGAGAAAAGCAGGATGCCATCAAGTTTGTGTTACCACAAAAAAAAAAGGGGAAAAAACTCCAGTTGTTGATTCCTTTAATTCTGATTGCAAAATTTAAGTTGTCAGTAGTAAATGCTTTAATTTTCAACTTTTTTTCCAGCCAAAAACTTAAAGCTGAAAGTGATGCTGAAGTATTGAAAGAACAAATTCGGAAGCTGGAACAGGAAATTGAGAAGCTAAGAATAGAAAATCGAACAATTATTGAACAGGAAGAAAAGATACGTGATGCTTTAACGAAGGAAACAAATCGTGCACATCTTCTGCAAAAAGAACTTGAAGAGACAAAAGCGGAAATCGAAGAACTTGAAAGTAAATCATTCCCTTTTATATATACATATTAAATCAAAATGAATGTTTGTCTATTTTTCTGCAAAAAAATAATTTGGAAATATTTTTGTTTTAATCGATAATTTTGCAGAAAAAATCAAACGGTTAGAGCAGGAAATTGAAAGTAGTTCTCGTGGCACACGCAAAGATGAATCAGAAGAAACAGGTATATTTGATTTAATTTACAAAAAAAAAGGAAAAAATTTCCTCCTTGTTCCTAGAAATTAATATGAAATGTCATGTTTCAGATAAAATATCACTCGCTCCAAGTGGTCCTACAATTTATGATACCGAACTACATGAAATTCGAATCAGGGAAGTCAATGATAAATGGAAACTTGAATTTGATAAACTTCTCGGTGAAAAGGTTTTAATCAGTTTAATTTCACAAACGTAATCCTTACATTTTCAAATTTCTAACAAAAAACTTACTTAAACAAAATTCAAATTTAGGATGAGCTTGAGCGTAAAATTCGCGACCTAGAAGACCAAATCACGCAAAAAAATCGTGAAATCGAACGACAAGAATCCGAGGTAGCAGAATTAAAACGTAAACATCAAGAAGAAATTGATCGATTGAAGGGCGAAATTTCACAACTTCATGATAAACATCAGAATGATCTCGACGATGAGAAAGAGCAATACAATAAGGTAACCATTTGTTTCTTTATACTACAAAAAAAAGGAAGAAAGAAATAAAAATGAAATGAAACTAATTACAATTATCCATAATATTCTCTACATTCTGTCTAATATCATTTGCGATCTTAGTGATCAGATCATCTCTTTTGATATAAAATGGAGATAAATTTCAGAATCTGGAATCGATTAAGCTTGTTGAGGATGAACTTCGTAACAAACTTACTGAAGCTGAGAGAAAACTTGCTGAAGCACAAAATCGTGAAAATCAATTGGAGCGTGAAAAAGTAGAGCTAAAGGAAAAGTATGAACAAGCATTAGCACAAATGCAAAAACTCAAGGATGATTTAGAAGATGTACGACAAGAAAGTGAAAATGTAAATATATTTTTTGCTAAATTTAGCATCAAAAAAGTTTTATTTATTTTAAGGAAATTCTTATTTGTTTCTCTTTGCTTCTCAGGAAATACAAAAATGGAAGACTGAAGTGTATTCGGCACGATCTGAACTTAAAGCAGTTGAAACCGCAAATAATGCACTGAAAACACAACTTGCGGCAGCTAATGAACGAGCTGAGTCATTAAATAAAACCGTCAATGATCAGAATGGCAAAATACGAGATTGTAAGTATAAATATTTTGTGATGAAATAATTACATACTTTTGCTTTTTCCTACATTCTTTAAAAAATAAATAAAAAACAAAAATTTACGTAATTTACAGTGAATACGCAAATTCGACGTCATGAGGAAGAGATATCGGACTTGAAATCTGCTGCTGTAACTCGTGAATCAGATTTGGAAAGTGCATTAAGTCGTTTACGTTCCGTGGAAGATCAGTATGCTACATTGCAAAATGAACATGCTAAGACACGGAATGAGCTAGAAATTCTACAAAGAGAATATGACCTACTTAAGGTAACCAATAATTATAATTTATAATATATCAATGAATTCAAAAAATTGTGCAAGTGAAAGATTAGTCAAATTGAAATATTTTAAAACTCACTAAAAATAAATCAACATAAGTAGTAATAATAGAAATTTTCAAATTACAGAGCACAAATGTAAATCAAGAATCTGAGCTTGAACGTCTCAGAAATAAAATTCAACAGTATGAAGTTACAATTAAGGAACAAAAGAATGCACTCGATCATCTTAAAGCGGAAGTATGTTCTTCTATTTGAATTGTAAATCCATGGACGAATTTATATATAACTGTTAAATGTTGCCACAATAAAAATAAAGTTTATAAAATTAAATTTCAGCGCGAACGATTGCAAAATATTTATCGTGATAAGATAAAGCAATTAGATCACCTTACTCAATTGGTACAATCATTCGATGTTAAAATGAACAAAATGCGTCAGAATCTTCGAGAGACCTCAGATAAAGTATGTCAATTTCTAAAATTTCTTCAATATTGACAAACAACAACAATAACTATTTCAAAAATTTCAATTATATTAAATATACTGCTTTCCTTTAGCTTGTCGCTGCTGAAACAGAACGTAATACTTTACGCTCCGAAATTACCAAACTTCAACAAGAGCTACAATTTGGCAAAGATCAAATGGTACGCCGAACGGATGAATATCAGTCATCTCTGGAAGATTTAGCAAATGCACATCGAGCTGCAGAAGATGGTCGACTTAATGCTTTACAAGAGTTAGAATCGAGGAAATACGAATTAGCTGATTTAAAGGTTTAAAAAAAAAATCATTCATTTTCTTTGTTTTAATATTAAAGTAAATAATCATCCTCCTTAAGCTTATACTTATGTATGTTACATTTATGAGTATGTTTTAAATATTTTATAATATTTTAGTCACGATTTGAAAATACGGAACAACGATTGACATCACTTCAACAAGATTATAATAAAGTGGAAAACGAAAGAGATATCATGGCTGATTCACTTAAACGTTTTTATTCTGTAACTACACATGCGGTAACATTACATAAAGTTAAGGTAATCATCACATAATTAGATCGATAATTAATACTCTAATAAAATTTCCTATATTCATTTTTTAAAAAGTAAAGAAAATAGATAATGAAAAATTCAAACTTTTTATTATTGATTACTATTCAGTTTTCAATGCTTCAGGAAGATGTTGATCGTGATCAGTTGATTGAGACTGAAATACCACGTTCAATTCCTTTCCCACCATCAGTTGATTATACCACAAATGGAGGACGTACTGGAGGTTGATTAATTTTTGTTTTTCATTTAACAAATATATTAAATGATAATGACGAAGAAGAAAAGATATTGAACTCTATTTAGAATATCAAATAAAATTAGGAATGATAATTCTAATATAATTTGTTACAGCAACAACTATTAATATTGGTGAAACACTTGATATTAATCAACTTGAAAATACTCTTCAAACATTGATTAATCGAATTGAGAGATTAGAGCGTGAACGAGTAAGTGTTATTCTTAAATATTGATCATTTTTTTTCTCCGTAAAAAAATATCAGGAAGAA